AGTTGGATCGGTGATGTCTGCAGTAATTTTATTTTTAAAAAATAGCAAATTAATCCATTAAATTTTAATATATTACAAAAATACCCTTAAAATTTTTAAATTAGTCCTTAAAATCTGTATTTATTTCAAAAATGCCCTAAAAATTCAATTAATTCCTAAACTTTTGACATATCTCCAAAACACCCCTAAAAATCACAAATTAGTCCACATAAATTTGAAATATTACAAAACCTGCCTAAAACCTGAATCAGACCGGATAAGTTGTTGGGTCCTTGTCGAACTGGTCCGATCGGTCGATCCGGTCCAGGTTTTAAAATAGTGCCATAAGTAAGCCGAATATACAACCCAGGCTGCAATTAAACCTACAACTTGTAATTCACATGACAACCAAGGAAAAAGGTAAAGAAAATACTCCTGACATACCTTAACTCCAAGAACACTTGCATGTCTATACATAACTTAAAATCCTCATAAATCAAACACATTGTATTATTAAAAGAAGGCAATATGCATCAACATCCAAATTCGTTCAAATAGAATATGAAGTCCTTGAAAAACATGCAATTTATGCAATACTATTCCACTCACCTCCCATTTTGCTAAATTTTCCTCTTCTCCTCCTATTGAGCCAACATAGACAAATTAGACTTAGAAATCCCAACCCGGCATCTCTCATTTCTTTCGTTTTTACCACCATTAAAAATTTTAAAAACATACATTTTACCCCCCAAAATCAACAAAATAAACTTTAATAAGATTCAAATAAATATAGGGTATTACACGAACTTTTTTTCTAAATTAATTTTAACAAACGATGGTTGATTAATGATCGTATTAAAATCATTCATATGCTCTATCACGGAAGCGTCTTCTCTCATCTTTTGATTAAATAATTTTTTCATAAGATATACTTTGTTATTTGCAGAAGGTTTCTCATACATATCAGACAATATATGCATCAACTTTTTTGTGGTTGTCTTATTTGCCACGTTACTTGCCATGTTCTTGGTTAATGTCAATCCAATGACTCATAATACTTATTTGTCAAAGAGTACTCAATCTGCATCTGACATCTTTTCGGGTGAACCACGCAAATGATCTTCAATCCGCATCTTCCAGAATGCGTAATCTGTTTAATCAAACTTGTTGATCTCTAGCACAAATCATCTTTTTTTCTCTAGCTATAGCTTTCTTTCTCAAGTTCGAGCTCTGATACTAGTTGTTGTGGGACTTAAATGAATGCTAGCGAAACTTAAATTCCTATGAAAGTGAAAATAAAATGAACAAATGACAAATAATTAATCACACATACAAACACAAGATTTATAATAGTTCACTCTCCGTATAAGAGTTATATCCACTTTGCTGTTGCAGAATTTTACTATGAAAAAGAAGAAGAAAAATTACAAGAGTTTTTCACAAGCCTCGCAAATTGGTTTTCTCACTAAACCCCTCTTTGGTGGCTCTCACTCTCTAATTGTGATCTTGCTTTATTTTGTATCTATTTCTAGGATTTAACTCCTTTTTATAGGAAAATAACTCAGTTGCATAAATCAGCACCACGTTGAGTGATACACATGCACTGAAAAATGATGCAAGCTCACACCAAATTGTAAGTGTCCATCACTTATTATGCCACAAATTATATTGCAAATCCCACTTACTATACGAAATGCAAGCATTGAAGTTGTCCTATTCCATCTTTCTATTTTGAAATATGATAGAACATATGCAAATATCTCTAATAAAGCATTAAACGTAAGCGACAAACATATGTTTAAATCTAAATTTCCAACGTCCAACAACAACATGCCATAGTAAATTAAGCCTATGCAAAAAGCAACACCCATAACCAACAATAATAACCTTCGTAAAGCCCATGTTCTCTTGGACATTTCCTTCATAAACGAGTAAAAATTTAACTTGTGCATTTCTTCCTTTGGAGGCGAGCTGGGCAAGGCCCGGGACCGCCTGGACCCTTGGGACTGATCCTTGAGGGACCGGGCCCAATTCCTCAAGGACCAGTCCTAGGCCCATGAGTTTTCTTGGGGAAATTTTTTTTTAATGTAAAATTAGATGTTAATCCTTAAATTTATTATGTATTTAATATATCAAAGGGGCGTTTTGAACATTTGTTAGAGGTTTATGTAATTGGGTAGAGGATTTTAAAAATTAGTAGGCCCGAGCCTGCCGACCCTAGGACCCGTCCCAGGGCCGGGCCCTAGAGGAAGGACCGGCCCTTGGGCCTGGTACGGTGGAGGACCGGTCCATGCCGTGTTGGACAAATTCAAGTTATCAAAATTAACATGATGATTAAAGTTTTCTTACTACTGCCAGAGCCTCAGCTTCATATCCATGCAAGAAAAGCCATCTAGGAGATTCACTGACAAAAGGACAGATTATCATACAGTACAAGATGCTGGAGCTGAAGTCCAAACATAAAGGATTTTCCAGGAAGAATCTCTATTTCTGTACGTAATTGCTGTAAGGTTAATATTTCATAAGAAAATTGTTATAACCTAAGCCTAATAAGCAAAATCNATTTTAGCTTATTGATTTTTTCATGTGGGGTTGTGTGCATGTTCAGTGCTCGCAAGAAGGAGCTGAAGAATAAGCAGAGAGAAGAGGAGAGGAAGCGCAAAGAAGAAAAAAAGGTGAAATAGGTACTTAGCTTTCGTTTTAAGCTGATGATTTGTTGATGAGCTAGGGCGGTAAGGAGCTTTTATCCACTGAAACCATGATGAGCTTGTGGACTGCGTCACGCTTTCTCTTCCAGAAGCTGTAGGGCTTGAAGGGGGAGTAAACGTCATGGCCTCTGGAGGCCACTGTAACAGGTACCATGAAGCTCTCTCTGATAAAATCAGGGCCAGAAGCACCTAAATTAAGATCTACCAGTGGCTCTGGTTCTTCAACCTGAATAGTTTCCACGCGATCTTCATACTTCCAAAGAGGCAGAAATGTCAAATTTTTTTTTTTTTATTTTAACAGGGATGGGCATCCATATTATATGGACGGCCGTCCCTAGCATATGGACGCCCATCCATATAACATGGACAACCGTCCAAAATTAATGGACGGCCATCCCTAAGCTTTTACAAATCTTTTTTTTATTTTAATAGGGACGGTCGTCCATATTATATGGACGGCCGTCCCTTGCATATGGACACCCGTCCATATAACATGGACGGGCGTCCATGTGAGTGAACGGCCGTCCAAATTTGATGGACGGCCGTTCACTAGAAAAAAATTATAAAGAAATAGAGAAACGGGTTCCACGTCGGCCGGTGCAAATATTTCGGTGTCCGTAGTGTTATTGAGATTCAATAGACTAGTGATTGAAAGTACTTCAGACACCATTGAGCCAAGGTTTCTCAAGGAGAAATCTGAAAAAAGAAAAAAAAAAAAAAAAAAAAACCAGTTGAAAATTATGTGGCATGTTTGGCTTATTATTTTTGCCCATATTCTCAATCCTATTCTCCAAATAATGTTTGGCACATTATTCTAGAAATATTACCCTATTTTTTTAATTACTTTTAGACCCCATACGGTTATCAATTTCATTAAATATCCCCTGAAAAAAAGTTTAAAAATTAACAAAAACACTCCCGTGACCCATACTTGCCAGATTCCGGCAACCACCGTCAGTGGTAGTCGAAATCTACCACAACAGTGAATTACCGACCAGAATTGGCCAGTAATTCACCAATCTGGCCTTTTACAGCCAGATCCACAGTGGATCTGGCTGAAAAAGGCTAGATCTGGTCGTCGTTGATGGTCAACGATGGCCAAATCTTGGCCAGTGTTGACCGAAAACAACGGCCATATCTTTGGCCGTCGCTGAAGGCCAAAGATGGTTGTCATTTTGGCCTTTTCTGACCGTCGATGGCCACAGCAGGCCGTAGATCTTGCCTTTTCTGGCAAGATCCATGATGGATCTGGCCAAAAAAGGCCATAACGATGCGTTACAACACAGATCCGACCAGTCTGTGTCGTAACGCGATTTTCTGATCAGATTTCAACGATGGTGGCTGGAATCTGGCACTGCAGGTGGTAGGGGTATTTTTATCATTTTATATATTAAGGGTATTTATTAAATTAGCAAACTTAGAGAATTTTTTTTCTAAATTTTTAAATTTTATCTCCTAATACTCTCATATTANATAGACAGGAATCAGCAAACAGCTATACAAGAATTAAATCTCCACACAGCTGAAATGCCTAAATAATCTTAAACCAAGAAAATCAAAAGCTTAAATCTTCAAGCTGATTTATAACTGCTGGTAAAGAATATAACACCTTGCGGTGGTTAAGAAATTGTTCCCTGTAAAGGCAATCATTTCTATTTGATATAATCTTAAACTATTAAACTAGCATACATATTACATAACTACTGTTTATTTATAGAGTATAGATGTACAGTTAACTATCTTTTTTTCATTTTCGGTTCAATATTTGTATACTCACAAAACACTTCATGGAAAAGCTTGAAAATTCACTCCATCAAAGTTCATTCATGTGATCATAGCAATTAAAACCATACGGAAAGTTACGACACATTAAAACTATTACTAAAAATTCCCATCAATCCTTAAACACTTATAGTAGAGACGAGAAAAACTCAGGACTTTTTGGGTCATGGCTCATGAGCATCAGTGAACTCCTGGGAGACAATAGAAACGAGATTATAACCTGTTCAATAAAACACAGCACTTCAATTAATTACAGTGGTAAACATAAACCAATGTTTCCACTTCACCCCAGATTCCATTTCCGCTAATCACCAAAACTTATCCGGGGAGACAATGAAAACATGAGCCATTAAGTTAAAAATACAAACCCAACACACTAAGCACAACTATTCCGACCTAAACCTAAACATAGCAAATCTATCTGACAATGGATAAAACACAACCAGCTCCAACATCCAAGACAACACAACTATGTAGTTTGAGTTTGCTAGTAAAGGCAAGAGGAAACAAAAAGCCAAGATAAACATTTAGTTAATCAGAACGTTCTTTTTTCGCCATCCTCAACAAAAAATTTCTACGATTGACAGGCGGCGGTGCTGCAACACCTGTACGCCTGCCAACAAGGGTTGGCCTGCTACGATTTGAACCGTCACGTGGAGGTGACAGGACAACAGGCAAGTAACCATTGGTGTGACACGGGAACTTGGAGCGCTCGAAATGATTCTTCAAAGCTCCTTTCCCCTGCATCACGAAGAATCCATTTTGAAATAACCATCAGTTAAATAATAATCTAAAAGGTTCAAAGGTATGCCAAAATCTTCAAAGTAATGATAAGAGATATATGGCCACCTGGATGAAAGCACAGGTTATTTCACATATTTTCTTCCTTGAAACACCAGGAACCTGACCCAGCCATTCATGTTGGTGGAAGGCTGTAGAGAACCTTACTGCAGCAACAGGAGTCGTAAAATTGACGAAAGCATATCCGAGATTGGCGCGAAACCTGAACCCGAGTGAAAACAACATTGAAATTATTTCACAATTCAGAGATACAAAAAGATCCAAGTAAAATTACAAGAAACAAAGCATTCGAAACGAAGATATTGATTAACCTCAATATTTAAGAAAAAATTATAAAAGAGAAGTTGAGAAGGTTTTACCCGAAATCCATTGGTAAATAAACGAAATCGTACTCGGACCTACATGGGTCTGAACGCAACTTAGCCTGCGAATTTTCTTCCCGGCAATGCAGGTCCAATATCCGCAGCAAGTCATGCCTCCTACTCACATCGACCACAACAAGGTAATCAAATAAGACCATGAGAATATCAACACATACTACACAAAATGTAACGAGTTTATGCAGATGAAAAACCCAGAAATAAAATAATAAGCGTGTTCATGTCTTCAAGACCTAATTCATGCCACTGGTTAAAGCTATTGTACGGAGGATGAGTCATTTCCCAAAAAGGAGAACAGTGATCATCACAGCCAGGCTTTGCAAAACACTAAGCAGGTTCGAAGTTCGAACCTAAATCTGAGCGCCAACAAAGTCCTCACCGTGGCTAGTAGTGTAATGCAAAGGTTCAGACCAAACAATCACACAAAGGAATTGCTGAATCTAAAACCATAAAAGATAAAATATAAAGAAGAAAATTTTCGGCCCGTATGGAAGCAGAGGAATGTCCACATCAAAAGCTAAAGGTAAACACACTGGGAACAGAAACAAAAAATATATAAGCTCAACAAATAAAACATGATAATAAGGAAAAAAGAGAACCCACTGAAACTGGTTAGGAATGTTTTTTATCATCAAAGACGTTTTCCCACCAAGCCGCAAATCGTGGTCACTGGGTGGAGATCGAACGCTATGTAGATCACAATCATCACTCTTCAAACCAAGCTTAGGTGCCCACTTCGTCGAAGTACCCTTTTTTGGTCCCCTCCACCACCGGGAGACGAACCTTTTTTTTATTTGAGCAGTGTTTCTGTTCTCGTTACACTCCAGAAAACCATATTCGTTTGCAGAAACATTCACCTCCGGCGGCCCCGTTTTACACCTAACATTTTCGTCTACACCAGTCATGAGATATGGTGTAAAGTCGCGTTGCAGAAACGAGTATGCATCATAACTCTCAACTTTATAATGATAAGATGACCAAACTGGTGTAGGATGATAAGTCACCACAGGGAGGTGTAGAAGCCGACGCGTCATCGCTTGTTCTACCGGAGTCTGCAGGGGCTGTTGAAAGGTCTCATTGGGTAAGACGAAGAAATTTGGAAGCAAGTTGGGTTGAGTTTCAGGTATTTTTGGCGGTTCGAAGGGAGGTGCAAGTGGGTTCAGTGGTTTAGGGTTTGTCGATTGTGGGGGAGTAGCCATTGCTGGTATTTGGCACATGTTTGAGTGGAAATAGAGAAGAAGTTTAAATAGACGATGTCCTACTCTGAGTCTGAGGGAGTGAAAAAAATCTGTGAAAACTACCTGTAAGATAAAGAAAACACCTGTATATATGCAGTACTTGCACAGAAGCAGAAGGACAGAAGAAAGCCTGGGCTAAAACACGGACGTTTTGTGTGTATGAGATACAGTGCGTATAATAGTATTAGAGAGAGAACAAATTAACATACACTTAGGAAGTAAGTATGCTGAAAACGAAGAACTATGAAAGTTGGGGTGTTGCTAAGGATATTAATCAACTAAAACAAATGCGTTCAGTTTGTGAAATTAACATTGTAAGTGTTAGTAATACATAGGAATTATATAATTAAATAGATATTTACTTTCTACTTCATTCTTGTATAGTTGTATTTGTGTTAAATTTAATATAATATTTTATTAATCACCCTTGAAATATGAATCGGCAATGAGGGCTGGATGGAGATTCACTTTGAGATAAGCAACAGATTTGATGAGAAGTTTTTACTTTTCTGGAAATAAAATCAGAATAATGATGAAAACTAGAATTGGGGATTACTAAAACAATCTTTACATTAAATGCACAATCCATTAAAGGACAAAGCAAAGCCAGCCTTGGCGGCTGATAAGAGAGAGAGAATGACTGACACAGAGTTTGAGATCAGCCTTGCTCTCCCCGTCTTCTCCGGGACTTTTATTCATATATTGGCATATAGGTTTTGCAAAAATTATTTAATAAAGAATAGAATTACAAATGAGAATAGAGTTATAAATTCTATTAGAAATATAATATCTCGTATGTTATCAATAAGGTCACGACTTATGAGTTATCACTTATGAGGGAATATCATGATATAAGATATTTGATGTAGTAGTTGTTAAAAAATATGATTTCTTTAAGGTGTTGAGTTGAGTATAGTTAAAAATTTATATTATTTTTACTCCGTTAATTATCTATTAAGTTGATAGTATTGTATATTTTTATATATCATGTTTATAAAACTAAAATAGATTTATCTCATCCGTAGATATAAGTGAATTATGTCGAACCACCTGAATATTATGTTTTTTTTTTTTTTATGTTATGATTTTATTAATATGTTGTTAATCTTAAAAGTATGTTTTTCGCTTCTACCAAGTGGTATTGGAGTTATAAGTTACAACTTAGAAAATAAGTTCTTTTAAGATGATAAATACACAAAAGAGACTGGTTACAACAGGTTCAAGTTGTAGGTGGAGTGATATTGGTTGGCAAAATTCGATATGGTTACTCTACAATTTGAATGTCGGTAATGGAAAACTTGTCAAGTTGGAGATTGTTGGGATATTGTGACTCGCATTTTTATTTATTCTTATATGAAAACTATTTAATAAATAATACAATTCTAAATATGAATAAAATTATGGTATTTCAATTAGAAATTGAAATATAAATTCTAATGGGAATAGAATGTGAATGTCTCATGCATATATGCTTCAAACCATGGTAGAGTATCTTAAAAATTGGGGTTGTTTTTGTTTTAGTGTACTAGGTTGAGCCTAGTTGAAAACTATTATTGTTTTAATTATATAACAAATTTGATAATATTGTGAAATTTTATATATTGTTGTTATAAATTTATAATAAATTTCCCTTATTCGTAAATATAAAAGGATTATATCAAAACATATAAATATAATATCTCTGTGTGATTTTATCCGTATACTATTAATGTCGAAAATATATTTTTTTAATGTGCGGTCTCCTAAGAATTTATTGTCCTCATCATTTTAACTTTTAATCCATTAATTATAACATAGAAATATAAAAATATAATTTGCTTCAGCTTCTTATTCTCAATTTTCTTTATTTATTGCCACGTACTTCCAGATACAATCATATTCACTGTTATTTTCTCATCTTCCGACAAATTCTTTTCAATAAATTTTAAATTTGAAGAAACACATCGACTAATCAATAATACTTGCCTTTCTGAGAGCATGCCAGATTGAACTTTCTCTGTGAAACGGTTTCTCTTATCATCTCTAGGAGAGAGAGAAAAAAAACAAACAAAGAACAAATGCAGTAACATTCCTGCATTAATTTGAACACCTGATATGTCACTGGCACAGATAGTAATGTTACTTATACCAGAGGTGAGAATGCAAATTTGATTTGCACTTAGAAATTATTCATTGTAGTTTCTTGATTTAGAAATTATCCGTTGCTTTAGCTTTTCTCTATATATTTAATTAAGAATTTAACTATATACGTTCTTGAATGATAGATTTCACTTTTGATAATCGAAATTTCTCACGCAGTCAAATGCCATGGCAGATTCGTTCAAATGAGGGTTAGTAAATAAAAATTGTAAATAAGGTAATGCTATAGTATGAATTTAATGTTATCCTCAACTCAATTACTGATTAGTATCTCCAATGAGTCTTTGATTATTAACAACACATTTTCAGATGAAATGTCCACTACGTCCCAATAACAAAATTAAACTCTTAAGCAAGGGATTAAGTTCTATAACAATAATACTACACTTACAAACTCTTCCTATTAATTTTCTTTTACAAGTACGCGACGTGTCAGCTCGTAATTAGTCAGTTTGTAATAGGTCCCGTTTGATTGAATGCAAACCGATTAATTACGAGTAATCACATCAACATTTATGAGAGAAAGTTGTGAGAAGTATTTGTCAACCTATCTTTATTCTATAACATGAGCCACTTAAATTTACAAGCAGTATTGTAAATAGATATATTTTATATAGTTAGTTTAAGATAAGTTACTACAATTTTTTTCTTTTTTTGATCACCGAGAGTATTTGAGTCAACTTGCATGCATTTTAACTAATCTTCCAAGGTTCTAGAACTGTCGACTTGGTAAGAGTCTCAGTGGTTACCTCATCAACTAATCTCTCGGGGTTTTAGAACTGTTGGTCAGATAAGAACCCCAATAATCGCCCTATTAGTGTTTGGGGGATTGGAACTTTAAAATTTATTGAACGTCAATTTGATTTTCACTGTCAGATAATCAAATGGTAGTTAGCTATCATAAGTTCTTATATTTGTAGATGCTCATGTTAATTTAATTAAATAATAAGAGTTCACACAAATNAAAAAAAAAAAAAAAAAGTCATTTTCTCTTTTTGGAGCTCAGCATTTCTCATAAGATTTGAATAAGAATATTATATTTAAAGATTTGTTGAAGGATAAAATTAACAGTTTTAACAGATCTCTCTCTTTTTCTGTCCTGATTCACAAAAGAAAGTACATGTAAAATGGTACAGTAAAATATTTAGGAAAAAGAATACACCGAATTCATGTACCGAATGACGTGACTCAATCATAACCGTCGATTAATTATAATTATGAATTTCATAATTAATCGACGGTCAGAATTGAACCACGTCATTCGGTGTGTAAATTTGATAACTGTAACATTACTCAATAATTAGAAGATTTTGATTAATGCCCATTAATTAATTCATAAATCTAATGTACAAGACTTAGAATCAGTTTAGAACTAAACCAAAATAAAATCACTGTCAAAAAAAATTAATGGAGCACTATTTTTCTTAAGTGGGTGTGTTTGAAATCAGTTGTGGAAAATGGCCAAAAACGATTTTACACAATACTCTTTCAAATCTTGATATTCTTATAGTGTGTACTGGTGGTGGTCAATTGTGGGTTATCATATATTCAATTTTCCCTGCAATCCTGCTAGAGTTTGGTGAAGCACCATTACAGAAACCAATTGGAGTTCAAGTCTGCGCATTTAAGATAATAATTAACAACAGAATCTGCCTGTACCTAGCCCATTTGATATGGTCCATGGTTGACAAATTAGCATGTTTTAAACTTTTTAAAAATTAATCTATAAATATACTGTATATGGAATCATAACTGTGAGAAGAGACAGCCAAAACGACCAAGCCCATCACTAAAGTTCTTGCTAAAAATGTGAACACGTTTCTGTGTTTTAAGTAGTCAATCCATTGAGTCATTTGAGAAATATTATAATTTAATCTTTTACTAAACTGTTACAACTGACTAAAGCAATGTTGGATTGCAGACATAGTGGGTTAGCTTTTTCTTTTTTAATAAAAAAAAAGTAGAAAAAAGAGACTTTAAGAAAGACAGTATTTCTTACTTTAAAAAAGAAAAAAACTAGTCTTTGAGTGATTGGTTTGATAACAACTAACAAACAATGAACTCCAACTTAAACTGGATTGCAATGTTTTAAAACGCAACCAGGGTAAAACTCGACAAAGTTGCCAAGTCCCATATTAACTAGTTTAACCGGTTTGACCGATGGTCAAATCGGTTGACAAAATTTTTTAAAATTCAATAAATACACTCTTAAAAATTTTTAAGTCCCTAAAAGTTTAAAATTTAGCAAACACACCTCAAATATAAATCAGTCGGTGACTGGTTGGTGGCAGCAACACCCCAGATGTAACCCCAATTGTTCCTTGAGTTAATTCCCCCTAAAATATACTCAAAATCTGGTCGAAATATGTTCAATTTCGATCAGATCTCACCGATACCGATGTCGACATTCTAGGCCAGATCTCATCGACGTTGGCTTTGACAACCCTCCCCATCACTCAGAAATTACTATTATCTTCCTCCCGACCAAAACCCACCTCACCTTACCCCTGTTAGCCTCATCAATCGTCGATAAGAGCCGGTTGTTGTTGCTGTCAGTTTTGTTCGATTTTCGGTTGATTTACTCATCGGAAATCAATTATGTCACCACTATTGCATTCATCGGCACTTTCTCTTCAAAAACCCTAATATTCTAGCTATCAATTTTTCGTCGATCATCCTCTTAAATTTCAGGGTTTTAAGTGAATAGAAAAAATATAAATTTAGTCTGTTAAAACTTTTGAGTCCCGATTGAACCAGTTAAACCGACTAGATTGGCCCGGATTTTAAAACATTGCTGGGTTGTTATTTGAAGATCATAAGAACTAACCACAAAAATACGCAAGGAAGAGCACAGGAATAACGGAATCCGGTGGATAAACCAGAGATTAGTGACAATTAATTAGGTTAGTAATTAATGAAACTGGTAGCATTAGGTTCTGGCTAAGTCGCCTGTATCTCTGGTGTCTTTCGGAGTAGGTAGCTCGAATATCAATATGTTGCAGGCACACTTGATGATTAACTATCAAATTATGATCCATATAAGACAAATTACACTAAAATAAGAAGAAAAATTATTTAAAAGAATATATTTTACTACCAACCCAAAGAAAAAGCCCATATGAAAACAAAACTAAATTGAAAAACAAATACATGATTGAGATACTCTTATAATAATATGTTCCAGTGCGTCATCCACGGCATGAAAATGTTTGCATTATCTATCAGTGTGTTTTTGTTCATTAAATGTTGAATTATAAGAAATGTTATATTAATAGAACAAATTGCTTTAAGGGTGCGTTTAGTTAAAGAAATATTGAATTATTGAGAATATTTAATCACTAAAAAATTAGATTACCTTGAAGATTACTGAAATTTTTTAGGAAAATATGTTTGGTTAGTTTGAATAAATTAGTGGGTATGTTATATTAATATATTTGATTAGAAGGAATAAATTGGTGGGTATGTTATTTAAATTACTAAATTACTCTCCTTTTAAATATTAATATAATATTATTTTTATTATTAATTTTTGAATTATTTTTTAACCCCCAACATTTTAGATTTAGCTAAAACACCCCCGCTTATATAAAATTTTAATTTATAACAAAATCACCCCCACCACCCCAAGCCACTGCCTGCCATCGCCATCTGCCATCTGCCACCAAAAGTTGTCAAAAGTCACCTGGAGTCGCCGTGAGTAGCCCACCATCACTAGGAGGCTCCGATATGGCTGTTTTTGGCCATATTGATGGCCGAAAACACTCCTATCGAAATGGACAGATCTATTCTGGCTATTTTTAGCTAGATCGATGGATCTGACCGTTAACGGGCAGATCCATGACTTTTATTGGCCATATTTGGATGAGATATGGCCGTTAACGGTCATGGATTTGGCCGTTAACGACAGGATCTATTATGGCCGGAATAGATCCCGCCATTAACGGCCAGATCTACTCCGATATGGGTGTTTTCGGCCATCAATATGGCTAGAAACGGCCATATCAGAGCCTCTCGGTGACGGTAGGCTACTCCAGGCGACTTTCAGCGACGACTGACGATGGTTTGGTTGGCGGTTGGCAACGACAGAGGGGGTGGGGGTGGTGGCTTGGGTGTGCTGCAATTTGTTTTAAATTCAAGCATAATTTTGTCCAAAAAGTTAATTAATTGAAGTAAGATAAAATAAATGTTTTGAAAACAAGAGTTACAAAATACAAATACAAAAAATATAGTATCAAAGTGTACTACGATTGTACAAAATATGCTAATGATCATGCGTCAATGGCCAACCCAGAGCGTAGAGTGTGCTCCATATGAAACCGGTCTACAATCCTGGGAGGAAGAAAAATATAAAAGAGTGAGATGGGAACCTAGTAAGTGGATAATACATTTTATACGAAAATAATTTCACTTTGAAAACATGTATGTAAAAATCCGATTGCATGTCATACAAGACCATAACCATTCACAAGATAAGCAAAAATACCATAGGATATTTTCAGATGCTATGGAACCACATACCAAGGTCATATAAACCCAAAACAATCACCACCACAATACCAATACCCAGGGACCTAAGTCATACCTCTCACATGTCAGTCCCAAATACAGACAAGTAGCTACACCACCAACAGTCTACTCTCGAGATGGTATAATCATCACTAGATAACCATACTCGACTCACAGTCTACCCTCGGGGCATCATGATATGGTATTAAATATAATCTCGCTCACGGTCTACCCTTGGGGCGTCAAAATCCTACATCGACCAATACCCACTTGGAGCTTGTCAAGCATCCGTCCTATCCTAGTAGGATATCACAATCGTTCGATAGGACAAACTATCTCAGTGAGCGCATGAGGATACTATAAAATGCTAGCTAATGTCTAGAGGGGGATGGGTATTATAAAAAGTGGTCTCTAATCAGATGGATAAAACTCATCATCACACATTGCATCCAAATGTCCAACACATCATGAATTATGCATGTTCGTATGTAGATACATATAAGTTATAATATCACAAAATGCTTGTTCTCATTTGAAACGCCATGCAAAAACATGTGTGCGATGCTTGGAACATCATAATCAATAATAATGTAAAATCACCATTTACCCCTATATTTTTAATTCATTTCAATATGTCCCAAACTTTTAAATTATTACAGTCAACCCTTTGAAACTTTGGACTGTCCCAGTAAAACGCCTATACTTTTAAATACTTATAAAACCCTTGTACAATCTAAATCCTTACAGTTAATCTCTTGCTTGTGCCTCAGCCTCAATATTTGCAGAACTAACAAACTGTGGCCCTTTTTAGTTCCATTAAATCCACCTATTTAAATAACCCAATAGCTCAAGAATTAACAAGGTCGTGAGTAACATTAGACCGGCCCACCAAGCTAAGTAAGCCCTCCAACACAATTAACCCACTAATTTAATTGACACAATTTGGGACTCATTAACAATAGACCGGCCCACTTAACCAATTTAACTCATTAATTCAATTAAACTCATTAACACCATTTAGCCCAATACTCCTTTAATAATTTAACTACCCAAACATTATAATTTGGCCTTATTATCTATGGGCTAACCCATTTAAACAATTAAATCCACCAACTTAAATTAGCCCCAAGCAATTTATTAGGCCTTACTAGTGAAAATAGACCGGCCCAACCCAACAATTAAAACCCAACCAATATAATATATCATTTTCTGAAAATAAAGGGTCAACCCAATATATCAATTACTCACAATTTCTTGTGTTTGGGCCGAGCCCATCTTTTTTTTATAAATCATCCACACTTCAATTTCATTACACTAACAAAACTAATAATAACAGCCTTTAAACCTATACCCACACAACATACTATACCTCTACTCAATCCCTTAAATAAAACCCAATAAAACTTCAAAGCCCAAATACCATAAATCATAAATTATACAAGATATCATCTAATCATTCAATGCCCTTCAATTAAACTTCCAGCACT